GGGCCAGGAGGGATGCATTTTCCCCATCCCGGGCCACCCATGGGTCATCAAAAAGTGCGACCCATGCAATCACAGAATTATGTCCCATCCTGAAATGGGTCCAGATCATCCATTTCCTCCAGAGTCCTTTGAAGCTGAAGCTCAACCACCTTCCCTAAAAAGGGTTGGAAGGTTGGAAATTGGACAGAAATTAAGGAAGGGCCAGACTACCACTTCTTTCAAATGTGCCAATGAGCTTCTTGAGTGGAGAGCATATTTGAGATATTAGGTCTGAAGGGGTTACGTGTATAAATGAATAAAGGGATTAACCATGGTGGCACCTGATGTTATGTCTTAACAGTTTTGGAATACAATGGGAAAGTTTTGAGCAAGCTAGAATAGCCAGTAAACTAAAGTCAGGTGGTAGACCATTATCCTGCTCATTTCAGATATGTTCCAACAAGCACTTGTAAAAATGTATTGGTGGGGAGAGTGTTGAATATCAATCCCAAATTGGTGTGGATAACTTCATGGTAGTGGTACCATGGATCTATAATTCCATTTACAGAGGGGCTACTAAGTTCCATTTACAGAGGAGCTACAATAATCCAAATATGGATATGTAACAACAGTTGGAGATGGAGGTATGAAATTACTATGGCCATGCATTTCACTAAAGCATAGGCGGCGGCTGCCAAACCAAAGGAGAGCTCCTGAAATTGAAAACATTAATTTCTTAATGCAAACCAAAGGTGATGCCTTAGAACAATACTTGTATAAATGTCTCCAATGGCCACCACTGCAAGTCAATGTGATCTCTTTTTAAATGGCAGGCTACAGATTTCTTGGCCAAGGAAACCCCATCTCTCTTCAGCCCAGTAAAATATTGAAATACTGAGAATAAATGCTCCTATTGCTTGAGCCGTGGAGAACCAGACTTATGCCTCTCTTCCTTAGCAAGGTCAGAATTTCTCACATGGAACCATCTAACATCCAACCAGCAAACCACTATCACATTCTCACTTGGAACCAGGTGAGTCTGTCACTGCTGTTTTGCTGCAATCTTAATCTGTTGTCTAGTGGTGAATGGGAAAAGCTATGGCCAGGAATGCCAAGGACAACACAGTTAAATACCCAAAGCTACATGGCAGTTTTCAGCCTAAAACAATTTTTCCGTTCAAATGGAAGATCTATTTCTGGCTTCAGATTCAAGGAGAAGTCCAGAGGAACACAAGTAAATGCAGGGCTCCAGAGATATCAGTGTTATTACCAATCGGTGTAATTGCCACTTTCAATCCCAAATCTCCTACATCTGCATAGTCACTCATGATGCTTTGCTATGGAAAACCTCTTCTGTTTGCCTCTTGTCTTCAACCAGATGGAGATAAAAAGGAGCCATAGTACTTAGAATACCTGATCATTCACCACAAGAAGAAATAAGATTCACACAGAGGAGATTTTTCTTTCCAGTCCATCTAACTTCCTGCCCTCTTTATCCATGCCTCCACAATAATGAATTTGACAGAGAGAGCTGAAAGAGGAAGGCAGAATAATTGTCTTCCACATAATATGGATTTCATATTCTTTTGGAGCTGGGAAGCATAGATGATGGTTTAGTCCTCGAATTAAGGACAGTCTCTAGCACCCCTGTAAGAAGTGTGCATACCCATAAAATGGTGAAGCTTCCCCCTCTGAAGTAATAGCTATGTATTTGACTTGTAGTCTTATGAGTGGTCTTGAGAGATTTGATATCGAACCAAAATGATTAGAGACAAATTGGAAATTGGTGCCAATCATGGAGCGGAATTCTGTAAAGAGTATTCATTCAAATTGCCTAGCACATTTTTATCCAAATTTAAAGTTTGGGCTTTTTTTCAAGGTAGTAGAGATCGTAGGAGACCATAAATGGTGTCCTTTGGAGGCTGAACCTAAGGGAATGTATAGGGCAAAAACATCTGGCTCACATGGTCTAGTGCTCCCTAGCCTCCAGACTATAGGAATTCTTAGGATAAAGAAGGGACTACCTCATTCTCAGGATAAGGAACAGAAGCCTCAGTCACCATGAGGTGATAACAGTATAGATGGTACTGTCTAAAGTGGTCATAAATAGGATTGATATAATGAATACAGAATCCCACCAAAACAACAAAACCAGTTAGGCTGTGTCTACTCCATAGTGACCTGCTCTGGGTTTGAGACATACTCTTTTGGGAGTGAAGAGAACATGGAACAATACTGAGTAGTTGCCTTATATAGGGACAGTCAGTTCCTGATCTCTCTCCTTCCAAAGGGGACTCTTGGACATGTAGTCCAGGCACAACAGTTGGATCAGAGACCTGATCTGGAGCCAGTGCCACCTATGTCACAGTCCAAGACGAGGTCTTAGTTATAGGACTAATCTGCCTTATATGACAAGATGAGTTATGAGGTTCCATCTCAGTGTTCTGTGTTACTTCTATGAGAAGTGGAAAATAAAGACTGTAATATCCTCAGCACTGGATGAAGGTATTCCTCATTTCTTTTGCTCTAGTTTGTCTTCAGTATGATACCAGAAGTTCAGGTCAAAGAGCAAATGATAGAGGAACAGCCTCAAGATCAAGCTCATACTTCAGTACCAAAGACTAATTAGATGCCCTAATTAGATGCCGAGAATAGGTCTATGTGCTGCAGGAGCAAAAGGGTCTTGGCAGTTTCTGCCCTTTTGAGCACACTGCAGAAGTAATACCCTCAAATAAGATAAGCAATTACAGCAAATAGGTTTACTGAAGGTTTGACAATGAGGTTCAATAATATCCCTTTCCTAAACAAAATAAACAGAAAAAAAATCAAAGGAAATTTACTGTCATAGTTCACACACTACGGAGGAAAGTCTTCAAAACCACCAACAGCAACAAATAAAGGAAAGAGTGAAAAAGGAGGGGGGGCAAAAGGAAATATAAAGAAACAGGAAAGAATAATATTCAAAAGAAAGAAGAGACAGCCACAAACAGAGCAGAAGATACCACTAAGAAGCTACTATTTCTACTTCGGTAGGCAAAAAAGATGGAAGGGACTGACATGAACAATTCAGCTCTAGAGGCCTCCTAGAGCAAAGGCAGAGATTCCCATCAAATGAAAAGCACAGAATTATCGCTGTAATTTCATTTGGAGTACATTACAACCATTTGAACAGCACACAAACCAATGAAGAGCATTGTGTGGCTATCTGCTTATCAACAGCTACAATTACTGCTTAAATCAATTCAGCAATTTTCTTTAAAACGGCAATAAAATGCAAGTGGGAGGGAGAGAACTTGAATATCCACATATTCTCTCTCCTTGGCCCTACAGATTAAATACATTCAAAGCTCATGGCTCATAGAGGGATAGAAGTGGATAGTGACCTTTTATGTCACTGAGTTCAATGTCCTGCTTAATACAGAAATACAGATTAAAATATCCCAAACAGAAGCATGTATAAATGCTTAAACATACATGTCCAAGTGAAGGAGACTACCACCAGTCTGGGAAATTGGTTCCACTGTCAAACTGCTCCTATGGTCAGGAAATTTTTCTAATATAGATTTTGGAATGTGCCATCCTGTAAACTAAATCCATTATTCCTCATCCTGCACTCTAGAATAAGCGAGAATAAGTCCCGAGCATCTTCTAGGTGACATCCTTCTAGGTAGCTGAAGAGTGCTTATCATCTCTCTACTGTGTGATCTTCTCTCTCAAGATTAAACATATGCAGCTTTCAATTCATTTATAGATCATACGTTCCTGATCCCTCATCACTTTTGTTGCCCTTCTTGGAACTCTTCCACCTTCTCTGAATCCTTCTTAAAATGTGGTACCCAAACTGACACAGTATTTGAGGTGGAGTCCAACTAAGGCAGAATAGGGAGGCTGATGACACTTCTAAGACAGGATTTGTTATATGGAGGTAGAAAAACATCTATTGTGACACTTTTTTCCAGTACTCCTAATTCAATTAATTAGCTTCAAAATCATCCCATAACTGCAGTTCTCCTGTTCCAGATGATCATATGGATAGAGCCAAGTAGTGTTCTGGGCAATAATACAAAGATGGTTTCCCTTCTTCTAGGAATTTTTTTCCCCACCAAATTCCCAATCTGGCCTACAGCCCTGGTATTTCTTGGTGGTCCTCTACCCAAGCATTAGCAAAGTCTGGCCAAGTTACTTTCTGAGATCAGTCAAGGTCAGCCAGATGCTGCTACCAGCTGAGCAGTTTCCTTAAGTGATATACACATCAATTAAAATTATATCGATAAAGATAAATGAAACAAAATGCAACATGGAATACCATAAAATATATAAGGTATAATCAACAGGAAAAAATCACAATAAAACATCATGACATTCTAAAAACCATAATACATTTTTAAGAATGCCAAAGAAAACGTTAACAATTCTTTATCTGGCATAGAAACTAGCAATAGAGAACATTCTGGACAGGGCATTCCATAAATTTCAAACCACCATTAAAAATAATCTTTCTTTCAGCCACCTGCCTTGCCTCATTTGACAGAAGCACCTGATAAAGAATCTTTGATGAAGATCATAGGATACTGGGAGGGACATACAGAATGAGATACTGTCAAGCCATTCAGCATTTTGTTGGCAAATATCAACATGCCAAGTTGGACCCTGAAACAAATCGCACAATTTTTTACTTTTTTTATTTGGTGGAGATGCCCAGGATTCCCTTTTAAATGTTTGGTGAATGCCCTAGTGTGCTCAGCTTACAAGTCCAGGTTGGTGGTGTACCAAGTATCCAGCAGGACACACTGGGAAGACTGACTACCTGTTGCTCTGTCTAAATCTCAATTAGGCCTACCAGGCCAGCCCCCTCATCTGCAATTAAATCATGATTCACAAAATTTTACTTTGGACTAAACTGGCATTCGGTATCAGTAACCAACAGATTAGAAAACAGCCAGGAATTGTGGGCCTGGGGAAAAAAACAAAGGAGGGAATCAATTTATTTTTCATTCAAAAGTACATAGATGGATTCTCACCCCATTGTTGGATCCAGTGCAATGCCTTTAGGATTGTAGAGTTCCAGGTCAAGCAGTGTAACACAGGTGACCCCATTCTTGTTGCAGACAAATATCCGGTCATCAATGTCATCCACAAAATAGAAGTTGCCAGTAAGCCAGTCAATAGCCATTTGCTCCACATCTAATGGAAGAATACAAAGAAAGATGAGATAAAAGAAGGATGAGATAAAACTTCTGTACAAGTTCAGAAATCCATCCTCTTGGAAATGATGCAACTTGAATCTATGCAATATAAATATATGAATAAAGGAGAGGTTACACATTAGCAAGAAAAAATTCAGATCCTGGATGGCTCTTTTGGAAATCAGATTTTTGCAAAGTCTTGGTCCTTCAACGGATGTCTCAAAATTCTAAACCCCTTATGGACTTTTTGCATAAAACAGAAAAGAATGAACTTATGATCTATGGTTTTGAAGATTAGGTAGGATAGATTATAGAAAGAAGAGGGTCATGATATAACGTTAGAGAAAGAGGTGAATTTACAATTGTACTTATAGCTGCTGCAAAGAAAATTGGAAGCCACTTCTTTATATCTTTTTTCTTTCTTTTCTATTTTTCTTCTACCTTTTTTCTTTTTTTTCTTTTCGCACTTCAGCTTTCTCATTTATTTCTTCCTTTTTCTTTTTTCTTTCTTATTCTATTTTAGTTTGTATTAATTTTTACTCTTGTTTTTAAAACTTTCAATAGTTATTTTTTTTAAAAAGATGTCTCAAAACTCTTTGGATAGGAATCCCCAACTACATTTGGCCATATTACTTCTCAGAAAAGAAGTTCAGGTGCCAACATGTTGACAAGGAAATGGATATTAATGATACCATAGTTCAGAGACTTCCAAGTCTGCAGCATTCTAAAAACAAGACTGGAAGTACTTCAGAAATAGGCCAAATGAACAACTGTTCATCATTTCAGACTGCTGGGATGGGATAGGGGACATCAAGAGAGATCTGACAAATTAACAAGAGGTTTTGCCCTAACATACTAGCATTAGGTATCCAATGAGGGAGTGATCTGATGGCAGAGACCAGTCTTGAGCGGAGATTCTGTTTGAAAGTTCTAATTCTGAATCTTCCAGCTCAGGTAATTTGATCATAGATGTCTTCATCAAACCACATCTTCATGACATGGACACAGTACATATTTTTAATGCATTTTGGGGTTACCATGCTCTTTATATTTAGCAGATACTTAGAATATTAATTTAATTAAATGCAAAGTTTCCCAAAACAGAATTAGTATGGCCATATTTAGACAGCATTCTAAACCAGGCTTCTTCAGACTGGGGTTTCCAAGCTTGGTAAAGTGGCTCAGCACTTAAATTTGGCTCCCACACTCTCCTCTTCTTCTCTGGCATAGCTACAATGGAAGTTCAGAAGCTTTTGCTTGTTTGTTTTTTTTCATAACCACTGCTTGTTTTTATCAAACTGTGTAACTGTGGCTGAAATATACCAGTTTCAAATTATGGTGGGATTTTCCTTTTTATATAGAAATCTATTGGGTGAAAACCTGGGGACTCCCTACTAAAAATATTTATCTGTTTTACACTAACACAGGAGTTCAAACAACCAGCTGTATCAGAGGATTATATTATGTGAAAGCCTATCCAACTGGACTGGCCTCAAGTTCCCGGGAGGAGGATGAGTACTAGGCAATTCAGTCACAAACTCTTACTCTCCTCCTTTCAACCTCCCCTGTATTCCTGCTGCATCTTGGCCCCATTAAAAGGACTCCCCTTTTAGATTTCTAGCTACTGAAGGAATCATCCCAAACAATATTCCCTCCCCCCTTCCCAAGACCATATTTTGTGTTCACCAGAATAAAACACCTTTGAAAAGATTGCATTCCCACTGAGATATTCTGAGGCCAAAGTCTCCTGTTGTCCTTCTGTGGTGCTCTGTTCCCTTGGAACTGAATACTGCCCTCAATTAGGCTCCCTTGGGGGAAAAAACCCTCCTTCCTTCCTTCCTTCCTTCCTTCCTTCCTTCCTTCCTTCCTTCCTCCCTCCCTCCCTTCCTTCCTTCCTTCCTTTTCTTTCAACAGGGCTTTCTTTTTGCTGCATTCCTGGTACCAACTTGTTACTTTACAGAATACTCTGCTGGCAGGCCAGAGGGATGTTGTTAAAGTCTGGTGGAGCGTAGGACATGGTGGTGGAAATTCATGTTCAAGCAATCTATTCAAAATGAGTTGGATGCCTCCTCTTTCATTGGCTAATATTTCTGAGTATTTTAAGATTATTTCAGGGGGGCAGGAAAGGATTTATGCTTATAAAATGCCTCAGCAATCAGACAGGCAATTAATTTGGTAAAAATAATAAAACGGTAAGAATGCATATATCAGGCAAGATATTCCTATCACCGACTGTAATGCCTCCTGATGACCAAGTGGGGAATTAAAATTCAGTAATTTAAAACACACAGGAAGAAAGTGCTTCAGAATTTATATCAAATGAGTTTCTTTTTTTAAGTTTCAGTTACATTAAATGCCCTTTAAAAATAACGAAGCATAAAATTTTTATTTAAAAGCAATGCGCACGCATCAAAACCAACACTTGTAAAACATTTACAAACTTACTATCAAAGAGGAGGTTGAAAAAATTATCAAATAACCTAGGTTTCCATCACACACATAGATGCATGTATTTGCTGAATTTCTATCCCTGCCTTTTTAAGTAACTGTAGTACATTATATTACTGTTTCTGCTTCTTACTGGAAAAATCATCTGATCTGTAATATGAAAGAATGGCCAATCAAGCTGTAAAAATATGCTTCTAGAATAATTTCTATCTTCATATCTGACATACAGTTCATCCAAACTGGAAAACCATTCTTAGACCAAAATCTAAAACATGAATTGGTAATACATCCAAAATATGGGTTTATCTCTGCACATAATCTATATTTCAATGTGATGAGATCCCTAAATCAAAATACACTTTTAGTAACATGGACTGAACTTACTACAGTGTACAATTCCATTCAATGATTTATATTATGTTGACCAAGGTTTTTGATACTCATTTTTAGCTTAAGTTCAAGAGTGATTCTTAGTCCCTTTATGTGATGTAATACATATAATATTTTAACTATTAATAACTAATTAATGATTGAGAAAGCTAACTTCCATGACATTTTAAAATCCCTGGTTTATTTAGCTGTATTATATTCTTTTATGCTTTTTCATGTACTTTATATATTTTATTCAAAATATTCAATAAAAATCTATCACCGTTGTTTTGATTCCACCTTTGTCCTGTGTTTAGTTGTCAATGCATGATAAATAGATCTATTATTACCACTACTACTTCTCTTTAAGTAAATAATGGCAATATATTTAATTCTTTTTTTCAGATTCTTTCCTTGCAACAAATTTGTAAGATGGGATCACTTAAACTGTGAGCTAGTGATGGCCCAATATCCACTAGTGAACTGATGGCTATGTGATTATTTGAAGTTTAGCTCTCCCAGTTCCTATCTATTTTATAATTCCATCCTGGTAGTGGCTGCAGGAGGCAAGGGAATCATCTCATAGTCTCATACCTGTGGATAGACCCAGTTTTCCCACAATGTTTTGGATGGGGTTGAAGAGATTTAATAATGTTGCATTTAGAAAGCTAATCCAAAATTTCACACACTTTCTTATTTGTTTTATGTGGGGGAAAACAGCAAGAAACCGTATCTCTGTAATTTGGCAGTTTTGGCAGTGCAATCCCAACAGGATTTGTGGCCTAAAGAAATGGGATTTAGGGACCACGTGCGGCCTGAAAATAGTCTCGTCCTGTTCTAGAGCAAGAAATGGAACTAAGAATTCAGATTGTTGACTCTGTGGTTTTAGCCAATACATTCTTCAAATGTACTTATTAATAACTTTTAATTTCTCCAACCAACAGGACATGAGGCATATTAACCAGGACTCATATGAGATACAGTTCAACATATCTGGAGAATACCAGATTAGCAAAATTGATAGCTATATGTTAGCTCTGAAATGGGTTTAAAAACCAGATGGGGAATGATTCTAAATGGAATCAGGAGATGCACATACAGCACGCAAAATCGTCCTGTACATATATTGTAAAAGCATAATGGATCATGTCTGCAATATGCAAGACACTCTCATAATCAATAAAGAAAGTCTATTTAGCAGTCCTCTAATAATTGGATACACACTTACTCCACAGTTAGATTTGCCTTTGTAACACCCAACCCAAATAGCCTGCTACATGAGGGATGCACAACCCATTATCCTTGCATCGCTCACTATGCCTCCCTGTGTTGCAGAGGCTCCTCAGAATTGTCAAACTCTGATGGTGGCATCTGAAACCATTAAAGGGCCTGTTTCTGTGCTTCTTTGCCATCCCATCCCACCCAGGTTTCTGAGGGGCAGAGGAACTGGCCTATTTTGTAAGTGTTCTCAACTATTTTATTTTACCCCCAATCCATGTCCCCTTTCTGATTTGGCCAATTCTTGGATCTGAGCCCACCCCATTTCTTGAGTGCAGCCCCCTTGCAAATTATTCTGGCTATAGACAAAAAGATATTGCCCATTCCTCTGCTACAACATGGTGACCCAAACCACAAAATGCCAGCATGAAACCACAATTCCTAATGCAGCAACCATCCTGTTTGACACCAAAATACCAATCAGAGGGCTGTTTTTCCTTTTGGTGGAGAAGAGAATCACTGACACCTCTTTGGAGATCGCCCAGTGGCTTCAAGCTGCGAGTCAGCGAACAGACATTGTCACGGGATTAAAGTTTCTGAAAAATATTCTTGCTATTCAAGAACTACCTGCGTTTACCTTTGCAGAATTTTTTAAAACTCTACAAGAGGAGATGGAGGATAGTCTTACTTTAAATGGATGCAGAAGCTGAATTCTTTCAACTCAACCTACAGACCACTGTTGACTTTTGTGAATGTCACGTTCCTGGATTAGGCCTGACTCTCTTCTTTAAAACACCCTGATAAAAGGTCATCTGGTTCTCTCCGTAAAATGTTCCAAGTCTGCCCTGTGTTCTTCTAGGGTTGGGCCCATTAGACAAGTGACTTTGTTTGTTTGTTTGTTTGTATGTTGGTGCTGCCCAACTCCAGAACAACTCTTGCCTGAGCTGCAGAAACTCAGTAATA